GAATTTGGCGAATAAAGGGGAGAGAGAAAGGATGAAAGAGTCAGTTAGTAGCATACTGGACAGGTGTGTCAGGGCACCTTTCCAGTGCTCTCTCTCTCTCTCTCTCTCTCTCTCTCTCTCTCTCTCTCTCTCTCTCTCTCTCTCTCTCTCTCTCTCTCTCTCTCTCTCTCTCTCTCTCTCTCTCTCTCTCTCTCTCTCTCCGCCCTCCTTCTACCTCTTAATCGTCTTAAAGGGTTGACTCGCCAGAAACTTTGATGTCGAGTTTGTCGCACTTGAGCGTCAACTGCGTCCCTTCTGCGACCATTTGCCACAATATAAACTCAGTATAAACCATCATCCCTACGGGGGTGTCCTCTCTGTCCATGGGCCAGAATCACCATGGAAATGCATCTCAACACTCGTACTGAGGACCATATCCGCCCATCTCATCTACTATGAAAATCCCCATGCAGTATTTGGTCGAGGAAACGGGACCAGATCCTCTTTGGTGGAGGAAACGGGACCACATCTTCTAGGATATTTACACGGGGGAAGGATCTTCAGGAAACGATGGCTTTTGCTCCATCTCACATTCATCGCGTAATAGGGTGATCACGCTCGCAACTGGTTCAGTTCCGTGAAGGAGGATCAAGGCTTCTCTGTTTTGCTCAACTCCATTATTAAGCCTGGATGCCACATATGCTCGTATTGTTTTAATAGCAATAACAATCTTGGCCTCATTACTTCGACATTAAAAATCATATGTTCGTGTTATGTAGGCTGAGAGTAGCGTAATTTCAGAGGTAATGTGAGTAGAGAAAACCTTTATTATACGACGTTTCGTCCACAGCGAAGCTTTATTAGATACTACGTAAAGCCCCACTGTGAGTGAAACTTCGTTTAATAAAGTTCTTCGTGCGAAATGTGCCTTTGATGCTACTAAGTGTTTCGTGTTGGGTGTATAAATAAAGAGAAAAATAAGAAGAACAAGCCCTTAAATAATGTTACGCTTCAAGCACACTTTTATTATACCATGACTTGAAAAAGCTTTACCTAGAGCGAAACATTGCGCAAATTAAGTCTTGCCTGTAGGCCGTTCTGAGGGTCAACGCCCCTGCGGCCGAGTCATTGACTAGGACTCCCGGTAGGATCTCGGTTTGCATACCCGTGTCTTTGTCTACTAATATATTTATGTTACGTTATCCAACCCTTGTGTGATGAATCCTGGTTTTCTTATTAATGCGTGACTGGCCCCCTGTAAAAAAATATAGCATAAAACAGCTAAATGAAGAAATTTAAGAGACTAGAAGTCAAAACAAAAAGCAAAACACTAGACACTAGTGTCTAGACTAGAAGCGAAACAAATAATGGGTCTCTTCTCGTGAAGTTTGTTTGTATAATGGTGTCTGTATGAAAAGTAACACTTTGTAGGTTCCTTTGCTGGGATTTGATGTTCTAGGCCCTTTGAGAGGACTCGATCTTCCCGGCCCTTTGGGACTTGATGTTTCCGGGGATATACAAAGTGCTCCACGTAGGAAGCCCTTAAGAACTGCTCACTGCTCAAAGAAAATCAAAGCCAGGAACGGCGTTGCTAAACGGACACCACCATCTCCAGGACACGTATTTACTTCACATTCACGGGGAAGAACTAAAATAGAGAAGGGGGTCATACAGCTCCTGAAAAAAGGGAGATGAGTAGGTCTGATGAAAGACGAGAGGTGATAGGTTAACTAGCATCTTCAACGGGAGATGAGCAGGTCTGATGAAAGACGACAGGTGATAGCTTAACTAGCATCTTCAACGGGAGATGAGCAGGTCTGATGAAAGACGACAGGTGATAGGTTAAATAGCATCTTCAGCGGGAGATGAGCAGGTCTGATGAAAGACGAGAGGTGATAGGTTAACTAGCATCTTCAGCGGGAGATGAGCAGGTCTGATGAAAGACGAGAGGTGATAGGTTAACTAGCATCTTCAACGGGAGATGAGCAGGTCTGATGAAAGACGAGAGGTGATAGCTTAACTAGCATCTTCAACGGGAGATGAGCAGGTCTGATGAAAGACGACAGGTGAAGTAGGTCCTACCCAAAGGGACGGGTTAGTTGTAGCAGCCGTGAAGAAGGTCTTGTAGATGTCCTCTGAACCAAGATTCCATGATGTTGCAGTGTCTTGACAAGTTGTGCATGAAAGGTATAAAATACCGACAATATGAAAGTTAAGACACATGTGCAACATCTGGATATCTATATTGTAGACGTTTCGCCATCCAGTGGCTTTATCAATACAGTCTTCTTCCCTTTGCTCCAGATTCTCCTCCACCACGATGCTGTGAACACTAACTCCAAGCCTGAGGGACTGATTACCTCATCTTTTGTATATAGTTCTACTGTCTTCCAATTATGTCCTGGAATCTGTATTGATAAAGCCACTGGATGGCGAAACGTCTACAATAAAGATATCCAGATGTTGCACATGTGTCTTAACTTTCATATTGTCGGTATTTTATACCATTCTTGAACAAAATGAACTTTGTTTTACTGCTTTACAAATAAGATTATACCAACTGCTTTTCCGTGGATATCAGGTCCTGAAGGGGGCTAACTTGATGCTAGTGAAGGGCTCTTGATCTTAGGAACTGAAACGCCCTTTCAGTTCCTTGAATCAACTTGATTACCTACCCCTTCCCTTACCGAGGCCCTGGATGACTTTCTACGGATTCCTTATGACTGCAATAATAACACAACTTTGATGTCGGGGGAGAGGCGAGTGCCAGAGGATTGAATAACCTCCTCCCCATCCGACTGTGATCAAATTGATCGAGTTGAAGTGCTGGGAAGTTCGTCAATTCAATTACCCGGTCGGTCGCGCGCGGACACGCACCACTCCACGCCCGCGTCAGGATATTTTAAGAACACCTACAGCTAGGGAGAAGTTAGCTACCCGCTAGGGGAGAGCCTATCTACCTGCTTGGGACAGGACCTAGCTACTTGCTAATTAGGACCTAGCTATCTTGTAGAGACGAGGTTCTTGCTACTTTCTAAGGATGAGAATCGTTCAATTTGCTACGAGGAAAGGCTAACGAGCTGCTGGTGTAATATCGGCTGGATATTAATTGCGTATGAGAGAGAGAGAGAGAGAGAGAGAGAGAGAGAGAGAGAGAGAGAGAGAGAGAGAGAGAGAGAAAGTAGAGAGAGAGAGAGAGAGGAGGAAGAGAGAGAGATGAGATGAGAGAGAAAGAGAGAGAAAGTAGAGACAGAGGGTTAATTTTTATGGAAAGATATATAATCTTCGTCTCACCGAATCAGTTTCCCAGTAAACTAACACGTGAATATCGAACAAAAACCGTCTTTTTTGTCTCTATAGATCATAAGCAACTCGTACGATTCTCTACAACAACTGCCTTACCCCCCCCTCCCCCCGCACACACACATGTTTTATTCAATAGCAGTTGGCACTCGTGTTCAGCTCACCGACACGTGTTTGACAGATTCTGTCTTACCATCTGTGATGTGCTCTGGCTACGCGCAGCTGTGTTCAGTCAGTGTGCTCAGTGCTCTAACCACATCATTTAATGGTAATTACTTGGTATTCATTTTTTTTACGTACCCTGACTATCAATTCTACCTTCCCAATATTAATTAATCATTAATAACTGCCTATTCTCATTAATTCAAATATGCATATCCAATATCCTTTATTCAATGCTGATTACCCTATTATTCTAATAATACTAATAATAATTATCTTTGTTTAATAATTCACTGCTAACTACTTATGCTCATCCAGTTAATACTAACTACTTAACATTAAATTATGAAGTACATATAATTAATCGTCTTTTTTTAATTACTGCCACTAAATTTTATTTCTGGGATTAGGAAGTACTCAGATTGTCCCATGAAAGTGAAGGATGACATCAGATCCTTTTACGGACAAACAAGGATATTATTATAATCAAAAAGAAGCGCTAAGCCACAAGGGCTATACAGCACAAACAAGGATAAGAATCTGTGCATCTTATCTGTGAAAATATAACTTATTTTATGTTCAGGGTCCAAAACCTTTTGAAATATAGTCTGCTCTAATTACACATGTGTAATTCAAAACTAAGATCAATTAAATATGCTAGTTATCCAAGTTAAGATAACATAAGATTTCGTTCGGATTTTTAACCCCGGAGGGTTAGCCACCCAGGATAACCCAAGAAAGTCAGTGCGTCATCGAGGACTGTCTAACTTATTTCCATTGGGGTCCTTAATCTTGTCCCCCAGGATGCGACCCACACCAGTCGACTAACACCCAGGTACCTATTTGCTGCTAGGTGAACAGAACAACAGGTAAACGTGTCGAAATGTTTCCACCCGCCGGGAATCGAACCCGGGCCCTCCGTGTGTGAAGCGGGAGCTTTAGCCACAAGGCCTCCAGGCCACCGGGCCACCCGTTGAAGGTCAAGGATAAAAAAAAGTCACTACTAAATACCTTCTTTCAAAAATTCTGGCACTGACGAGGGAGGAAATCCATAGGCTTTCTCCACTAAAGCATTGTATAATGTATGTAGGTGTAGTCACGAGTAATGGTGGAGATACAAGTGCGTACTCTCTACCAGTGTTGCAGCGCTGTTTGACTTATGGGTTTAGTGCTTAGTTATGATAATAATAATAATAATAATAATAATAATAATAATAATAATAATAATAATAATAATAATAATGTAGCAGTGTTAATGAGCAACGTGTGTAGTTGTTGTCTCCAATAATGGTGCCGCAAGACTCGTGTCTCTCCAACAGTAGTCTCGCTCGTTTATAAGAGACATGTGCAACAGCTAGGTATTGTTATTCTCGGAATAAAGATACCCTATCTCACTCAAATGATACATACTAGTGTCACTTTAACTCCAGCCTAACTCCCTGACTTTCTCCAACATAAATCTCACTCTTTTCTCTCTTCAGAATCAGTCTCACTCTCTGTTTTTTTCAGTCAGACTCATTCCA